AAAGGACCATGGGCCTCATGCACTGACCTCTACAGCCCCCCAGGGGCTAAAGCATTGAGGGGGGGGTACTCCTTCAAGGGGTCAGCAGCCCATTATAGGACAATGCAGACTCAGTTCAATTCAGTTTATTTATATATTGCCAATTCACAACACGTCATCTCAAGGCACTTTACAGTTCACCAGATCATACAGTCAGACTGGTTAAAAGTTTTGTTTGTAAGGAAAACCAGTTGATTGTATTGACTCATCGACTCGAAGGCAATCCCTCACACTAAGCATGCTTTTAGCGACTGTGGAGAGGAAAAACTCCCTTTTAACAGGAATAAACCTCCAGCAGAGCCAGGCTCAGTGTGAGCGGCCATCTGCAGAGGCCGACTGGGGTTCAAGGAGACAGAAGCAGAGGCAATGTAGAAGTATTTATCTTTCAGCTTTCATATGATTTTGCAGGAATATTGAAGTCATACACATTGTTTAATTTACCTTAAAACCCAATTTGCAGGCTATAGAAAAAGAAAGAAAAAAATGTTTTGGAAACAAAGAGAAAAGAACCAGCATCTCTTGTTCTCGTACAGTATTTAAGCTCAGGTCCCCCAAACTGCTAACATCGCCCCTTCTCTTACTTTTTATCTAATAATATGTTACAGGTGTTTTTACAGTGTTGATTATCTGTTGAATGGGCTGATGCTAGCTTGCAGAGTCATTTGAGTCCCTTTGAAGCCTGTTAAACATCAAAAACATCACTGTTTTCCTCCACTTCACCTCACTCATTTGAAAGCTCTATAGCCACATGAATGTACGGCAATAGTTTTCTGCCAGAAAGAGAGGATAAACAGAACAAAGAAAGGCCTCAAAGTGCTTTAAAGGAAAGCTCTATGTTTACATTTGTAAGTTTTCTAAAAGCTTGCAAATCAGCAGTGTGGATGCTGTCTAGATTATAACTCCAGCTTAAACAGACACCCTTTACTAAATGAGTTTTCGTAAACATTTTCTTTTAATGGGCGGGGAGCACAATGTGGATCTCAACTTAAACATTTCATTTTGCAACCATAAAATATTTTGTTGTGATCGATCCAACAGTTATGTTAATAATTGATGATTAACAGCGACTTTCAAAGTTTTTAAAAGGAAAGAATCAATCATCCATTTGATGCTTGTGCTCCTATTGATCTGGCTGAGTAAAGGGGGAGACAGAGCAGGTGTAGGTCTGACCACAGAGACCCTGGGGGTGTGGAGCCTGGGACCTGAGGTCAGTCCCCTCTCTGGGCACAGAGAACTCTGGTTTGTAAGGACATTACAACTGAACCTTAATTCTCATTTTACCTGGACAGATTATTTTTTAAGGAGATTAAAAGTAAGCAGGTGCAAGAAATGTTGGTATCCGAGCCCGGATGATACCCGACATTACCATTCAGACCACACAGACGTTTCTGATTTAGAACCACACATGGCAGTGACAAAATTCTGCTTTTTTCCCCCCTTTTTGTTAAAAAGAACTGAAACCATGAAAATTTAAATAGGAGTTACACATGGAAAAAAAGAAAAGAAAATTGTATTTGGGTTGCTTTACCATTTGTGTGAGCAAAGCCCAGATCGACTTAGTTGTGTTCCTCTTAATTGTATATCAGCAATCACTTCTCTATATTGATAGTTGTGTAATCTCTAGTATTTAAAAACAGCATGCTTGATGCCTTTTCATTTTACTTTGACCACTTTATTACCAGCCTCTAGTGCACCTGTACCACCAGTACTTATTTCTAAAAGGTTGAAATTATCTTGATACCCAAACCTCATTTTAAATTCAGACGATGACAAAAGTTGATGCACATCAAACGTTTGCAGTTGAAAGGAACAAAGACACTGATCTATGAAATGAAACCCATTTGTTATTTATTCCTGTAAAGTTCAATATGAAGTACATTCTGATACTTTGAGACCCACAAAAATGTAATAAAAGTTCTAGTATGATTCAAGTGAAAGTTTAAATTCATATTTTTCTACAAAATTATACAGAAGGCAGTCTCAGTCACGCAGTCTAAATGTTGGAAGGCGGTGACAAAATGATCAGGGCTGCATACGGATGGCTCCGTCCAGTCGGATGACCTCCCCGTTGATCATTGGGTTCTCCACCAACGAGGTCACCAAGTGGGCGAACTCGGCAGGATCTCCAAGGCGTGAAGGAAAGGGCACCTGGCGGGCGAGAAAGGAGCGTACCTTCTCTGGAAGGCTGGCTAGGAGGGGGGTGGAGAACAATCCTGCAGAGAGAATTAAGAGGAATATTCACCACCGCTCTAATCCAGGTTTGACACGATGCTGATATTTTTGACACCAACCAGGGGCAATGGTGACGACTCTGATGCCCATGGGTGCCAGATCTCGAGCGATTGGGAGGGTCATACCAACGATGCCGCCTTTAGACGCAGAATACGCTGCTTGTCCAACCTCAAGAAAAGACAAGACTAATAAATGGAACACCAACCATAGTTATTTACCTTTAGGTGTTTGATTTAATGTCCTACTTGTCCATCGAACGCTGCTACACTGGCAGTGTTTATGATGCAGCCTCGGTGCCCGTCTGCATCCGGCTCATTCTTGCCCATCTCCCCCACGGCGAGGCGGATCACATTAAAGGTTCCTGCGATATTCACCTAGAGGACCAGAGCAGATATATCAGGGTTATTAAAGAAGCTCTTTCAGTGTCTTCTATTCTTCTTCATTTTCTTACATTTATAACGCGCTGGAAGTCCTCCAGGCTGTGAGGGACGTCCTTCTTAAAGTTATACGTTTTGACAGCCACAGCAATGCCAGCGCAGTTAACTGCCAGGTCCAACTTTCCAAACTTCTCCCGGGCCAGAGACACCGCTGAACGCACGTCTGCCTCGGATGTTACCTGGGAGCGACACAACACAGGTCTGAGAAGGAAAATCTGGGTCTACAGTTCAGACTTAAGTATTCACACCCCTTTAATGTTACTGCAGCAGACTTCAATTTATTTCATTGGAAGTTTATGGGAACACAGAGTGATGGATTTTTGTGAAGTTAAAGGAAAGATTGTTTCCAACATCTAATTATCCTTTGATGTAACCCATCCAATAGTGGTATTAGTCTGCCCTGTATTTAACTCCATTAATTCCTCCTTCATCAAGTCTCACTAGCTTGCTTGTTACTTAAAAGAGAAAAAAGGGAGGCTGGATGAAGGACTGCTTATGCTTTTCCTCGACTTACATATTTACACTGTCCCATAAACGTCCGATTTGGAGATGACCTGCAGCTGCCCTGTCAACAGATTTTTACAGGATAGTTGTGGAGCAGTGCAGCTCCTCCAGGCAGGATTATCATTACGTGTCCTTTGAAGGTAAATTATTAAAACTTTTTGGGGTAGATTAAAGGGGGAAACTAAGAAGTAAACAAAACCTTTTTGATTTGTAAACATTTTAAATTATGTATCCCTTTTATTCTACTTTGCATTTTTTGTTTGTCACATAAAATCCCAGACACACATTTAAGGGTTAGAGAGTTTTGTTAGGCACTATATGATGGAAAAATGAAAGAGTGCCATCTACTGGACCAAGGGTATATCACAACTAAAATTCTGAAGCATTCCCGTCTTGTTAACTTATTAATTAAATAGTTCAATATCAGTGCTAACCTAAGGAATATTATATGAAGAAGCTGAATGAAAATACTTGAGAATTAACATAACTATCTGTTACTTCCTTTAAAGTTCTGCCTTCCTCCGCTGTGATGATTTTATCCCTGACAGTATGTGAATTTCTTTGTGTGATGACTTCTGGACTCACGTCTGCCGGAGCGAAGGCACAGCGGTCTCCCAGACTGCCAGCCAGGGCCTGGCCATCTGAGGACGGCAGGTCCACGATGACGGCGGAAGCTCCACTCTGCACCAGGCGCTCCACGGTGGCCCTACCCAACCCAGAGGCCCCACCGGTGACCAGGCCAACCATGCCCTGCCAAACATAAACAGACTATTAGGTCATCTCCATGTAAATAATTTGCAGAAACTGGTTGTTTCACTTCTTAGCCTCCACTATTACATTTCAAATATCTATCATTTATATTTGCATGTTAATATTTACAGCCTATTGGATGGAGTCTTAATGTAGTTGCTGCTCATCAGAAAGAGGCTACAGAAATGTAAAATAGATTGTGCAAATTATTATAATATTAAATGTGGAAGTGAGGAAACTGTGGATTCTGGTTTTTCACATGCATCATATCTGATTAATCTATTTTAAGGGGGGGAAAAAAAACACCTGTTTGATTGGCAGATCATTTTATTTACCTGCTTAAATTAAGGGTAAATGCAAAGATTTTAAAAAATATTTTACTTAATCAATTCACTTAATACATTTCTAACGATAATATGCGTAAACAGAAAAGACTATAACTGATTAATCCAGAGGCCCAATACAATTTTTCATCTTTCCAATTTACTTTAACAAATACTAAGAAATGAAAATAAACTTTAAAGGTATACTGGAGGATTTTCACACATTTTTGAAAAGACCCGCCCTCTCCACTTTTAAAAAAATATGCACATGCACAACCCTGTACCTGCTCCGGAGAGGGAACGCCTATTAAACTCGTGCAAAAGCATGCACAAGCACATTTCTCCTTGTGAATGCTCCATTTAAAAGTTGTTTGCATCACTCACACAAGCTTACTTTCCAAATGAGGATCTGCAATGTTTCCACTGTGTCAGACTCACCACCGGTAAGTGAAACGGGGGCGAGCACTTAGGATGCCTTATATAAACGTATCAACAGAATGATTGACAGTTAGGAGGACCACTGATTTAAATGAGCCACCCGGAAAAAGAAAATCCTCCACTATACCTTTAAGCTCCAGCCGTATTAAGAAGGATCATGTGTTGTTTGTCAGATCAGGAGTCTGCAACCTTGGCCTTTTGGCTCACTTAATATAAATGATTCACTCCTCCCCTGTTTTTTTTATTTATTTTATTACTCTTTTGTTCTGTGCCCCCTCGAAAAAAAAACCCCCCCCCGGGGAAAAAAAAAAAAAAAAAAAAAAAAAAATCTAGAACCATCACTGGGAGCTTAGCTGTGAATTTGAAAATATTTAATTTATTAGCAGATAATAACTTCATAGTACACACCAACTCATTTTTCAGTTGCAAAGCAGAAAAATCTGCCATGGAGCTGAAAATATTACCAATCATACTTTGCTAAACAGGCCTGGGGAATCAGGGCGCAGCCTTTCAAGCTGAAGTCCGTGAGAAAGTCTAAAGGTTGTAGATGTTTAAAATACTGAGCATAGCTGACGGTCCGTTAGCCTCATCTTCAAACTTTTGAACTACAGGGACATTTTGTTGACTGTAAAATGACGAACAGAAAAAGGAAACGCAATTTAACTTGTCATTCTCTTAGAGTAAACAACGCAAATGCGGCATGCCGCAGGAATCCTAATATACGGGTTTATTTTCTCTGAACTCACCTTCACACACCGAATGTTCGCCATGTTTGCTCCGGACAGACCATGACGTCACACCAAAGCTCGTCTATAAACATGTGACTCACTCCGGACCCCACAAAGTGAAAACATCTGATACACGCCAGGGTAAAAATGTCGAAAAACAAAAACTAAGAGAATATAAAGCCAGGAAAAAAATTTAAAACATAGAAAAAATAATAGTGTACAGTTACTACTCCCACATATACGCACAATGCATATGTATGTAGGATGAATTAATGAATTTATTAAACATGCATACATGGTTCTGCAAAAAAAAACAAAAAAAAACTGTTATCAATAAATAAAAAAAATAAATTACTTCAGCAAACAGTATGAAGTTAGACAGATTATTGAGGCAAGAAATACATAAAAAATCTAATTTAAACCAAAATATGTGAACCGTCAAAGTGCAATTGTCAAGTGTTAATTGGTTCTTTTAAAATGCATACATTATTTATTTTTATAACCATCAGAAAATGAAAACCTTTCTGTTATTTTATCTTAATATGTTGAACGTTTGTCTAGGACAATTAAAATTATGTAAATTATTATTTTTTTTAGAACTACATTTATTTTATAAAATGTCACTCAACACGTTTCATTTGTTAAGTGAGGTGTACTTGTGTTAAGTGAGGGATCATTTGTTTTGATGCCTCTTTACACTATTTGTGGGGGAAAAAATCAGGTAAATAAAATAATGCAAATTAAACTTACCAGTATTACCAATATATACGTAACATCATGTGTAATAAGCACGAAATTATTGTATTTATTGAGCTAAAATGAAAAATTTATAAAAAAAAAAAAAAAAAAAATTCTGACGGAGTTGGACCTCTTTAATTTCACCTAGCTTTGGTAAGTTTTTATTTTCATCTAACCAATCACTGTAAGCTTCCGGGAACAACCTCTCAAACGTAATCACGTCGTCCAATGAGAATCACGCTCAGAGGTATTTAAGGCGGGATGAGCAAGCTGTGAATTCTCAGCGTGAATACAAAATGATTGAGTTTGAGAACATTTCATCTTTATCTCAGCATTATGCACCGAAACACCATAATAAAAACACTACCAGATACTTTCCGTTCAACTAAAAAAATGTTTATAAAATGTTTCCTCTTTTTTATGTACGGAACCAATCACACAAAGCATCGATACAGAAATAAAAGGTTTAATCAAAGAAGCAACATCAACTTAAGGACAGGGAACACTTACATTCACCACTGAAAAATAACATATGATGAGAGAAGACGAAAAATATTATTTTAAATAAAACCAGAGCAAATAAAATAAAATAAATACAATAAAATCATGCCTGTAAGAGGAAGATCCTGTAAATGTTATTAGTCCCAAATTAAGAAGTTTCTTCATGTAAGGGTTTCAACGATCTGGTAGCTTAACCAGAGAACAGTGATTTAACAGGTCTCTGATTTCTTTAGATTCGTAACTTCATAACAACAACAAAAAAAAAACTGAAAATATATTTAGAATCTATTCTTTTCAAAACAGGGTGAAGTACACACATTTTTGGATGGCTTTGAGATCTGATTTATGTTTAAATAATGTTGAAATGCAATGAGATGAGATCTGCTGTATATTCACTGCAGATAGTCTGACTAACCATCAGCTTGATTTACTTGTATTAGTCTATACAGAACAGAAAGATAAAAAATAAAATAAAACACATTTTTTGGTGATTTGCACAAAATGCCAATCTAATAAAAAGTAAATTTTTCTAAAGTTAATTATTGTTAAGTTAGTTATTTGCTTGAGTCCCTGCATTAAAACTAGATAAAAAGCTTCAGTGAGCATTAAGATTACCAATCAGATCAAATTCTTGAAATAAAATATGTTAGGTTTTTTCTTTTTTCAATGTATAAAAAAGAGGAAGCATCTTTCTAGACAGGCATGTGTCCTTTTTTACCCTTGAATGAAAAGCTCATTTGCTTTGATGCTCAAACAGGAATAATCTGGTAAAACCCTTGTCGCTTGGGTTTAAAAATGACTACCTCTTAAAAACTGTGCATACATAAAATTCCCTTTAATATATGTAATAGTTATTACAAGATAATTAAATCAGTCAAAATTAGTTATTAAACATATCTGCCATAAAAACCTAAGTGGGTATCAGCCATAAAAAGCCAGATTGTTTTGCAAACAAGGTGATACAGACTCAGTTTGAGCACAACAGACAATTTAATGTGGGTAGTATGAGGCAATGTACAAAAGGCTATATGTTTAAGAAAAAAAGGTTGAAAGAAAAAGCAGCAAAATGGGCGTTGGACATTTCAAAATCAGCAAATTCAACAGATGGTGTGGTCACCATGGAAACAAGATGGGCAGACTCCAATATCTTCATGTTTGTGGTGGTGGCTTAGGTCGCCCTGAGAAAGACAGTAGGCTGTATAGTTATCTCCCAGATCTGGTGTGATCCTAAAACTATACAAACTACTACCTCATCCCAAAGATACCAGATTCTCTTTTTCCCCCTGGATTCCAGTTTCAAGGAAATCTTTAAATTCTAAGAAAAATCTCAAGATAAAGAACAGATACCACACCACGAAACAAGCAATCAGAGAGACTGCTACGGCACAGCGTTACTAATAACACATCAAACTATTTATGAAAGTCACTGAAATATCCTCTTTACTGTGAAGCTGGTGATGCTAACTTGCTAGCCTGGATTGTACCTTAACATGAGAAATTAGGTAAATGATTGCGGCTCTGTTTAAGATCCGGAAGTCTTGGGATTTTCGTGGTAGCTGACAGAGCAGTAGTATTTTCCTCTGGGTGTTTTTCACCGGACCAGCTCTGGTTAGTAGCAGCGAACTAGTCTGAAGTTAGCTGGAATTGGCGGTTCACAGCTATCGCCACAAACAGGTAGTTGTCGCCTTCGTTTTCCCACAGCCGCGATCCACCGATAAACTCCCCTCATCTCCCCATTAAATCTCCACGCTTGTTTGTTGAAAAATCCGGTAGCTGTGTAACCTCAGCTCTCGGATTTCAGAACGCTTAGCTAGTCGCTGTACACCATCATCTAGATGAGGACCTCCACCGGAAATACGTCACCTTCAATAAACACGCAACATCCGCTTTTCATGCTATTTAGGCGGGATACTAAACCGGCCCATAAACACTAAACCTACGCACTAAACCTTCGTTTGCACGTTCTCTCCGTCACAAAGCCCGTAGCGGGTAGGGAGAGGGGACATTCAGTCCTTGAATAGCGAGTCTTGCGTCACTCCAGGTTGGAATTCGCCATTGGGTGTAACGGCGTCCCAACGGTAGAGGAAACACGTACATCCAAATGTTAGTTCCGCTGGTTTGCTGCGTCTTCGTCACACTGACAGAAAAAAATAAGTTAGAAAAAAAACGTAATTAATTTCGAAAGGGAAGGACGTCTCAGTTTTATTTGACCGTATGTATCTGTTTTGAGAAAGTGGCAAAGGTATTATGATTTCATGTCAACTTACGGCACAAATCTAAAGCCATGTACTTGAGGCATCGCCGTGTTGCCATAGCAACAGCTGCTTTAATTTTCCATTGAAGGGGAGAGGCCATCCCATTCTCGTTTACACTCCCATATCTTCAATCAAGGCCCCTTCCACATCTGCAATTGTGACTTTATTGGAAGTGACACTGGATAGTGCTTAGGGGGCGGTTTGGGATTTTTTTCTTTCCTAGTGCCAATCAAGATTAAAGAGATGGGTCAAGCTGAAGAACAACTTTCAACACAAATTTACTCTTAGCATGGGCTACATTTTCCTGCCCCAGTTTGGTTGAAAGTAAACTTCTATGGGTGTTTGGTGAAACCATTGAGGCAAAGGTGAATACAAGTCAGGGCGAACCAGTTGAACAATGATTTTAATTCAGTGAGTTTTAATATGAACCTAAATAAAATAAAAATGTTTCAGTCAGTCTCTATTGATGTGGATAAACTGCTGCCTTAAAATGTATAACCTTGAATTAGGTGCTCATTATAAAGGAAAAAAAAGATTACTTCATGCTAAAACTTATATTTCTGACAAGTATCTTTAAAAAAAAATTTAAGTTGTCTTTTATGGAGATTAAATGAATCAAATCATGGAATCTTGTAAAAAGTTTAATACATTTTTCTATTAAATGGTGTTTTTTCCAGTTTCTCTGTTTTCTGTTGCTGCCTGCGTCATTGTTAAAACTAAGAGCAAGCACATCAACCCAGTATTAGTGTCATTCCACTGGCTCCCTGTATTTCAGCATACAGGCTAAAATAGTATTTGTGTTATTCAATAAATCATTGAATGGCTTAGCTTTAAAATACAATACAGACTATCGGTGGATCAATCACCCAGACTTCTCAGGTCTTCTGGCTCAAGTCTACTCTGCATACCAAGAACCAGAACAAACATGGAGGAGCAGCTTTGAGCTCCTATGATTCACTAATCTGGAAATAACTTCCAGAAAACTGTACAATTACTGTAATATGAATTGCTTAAAATCCAGATTAAAAACATTGTTTAGAGCACCCTTTGAATGTGCATTCTAAGCATTAATTTTGTAGTCCAAAAATGTCCTATATTATATTGAGTTGCACTTTTCCCTGCACGTTTTCCTAGTATTAACAGCACTATGACTTGCCTTGCTACTGAAATTTGCTAGATAAACTGGCCTTGGCAATTTTTAGAAACTTACCAGCAGCTCATGAATCCGAAAAAGCGGGGGGTCTTCAATCCCTGTGCTAAGGACCCACAGTCCTGTTAGTTTTAACATAGTTTTAGTGTGTTTAAGACGCATTCCTGCTCCAGCATGTGGCGGAATCAAATGAACTTCCTCTTGACCACCATCAGGGGTTTTGTGTTGCAGGGATGCCTCTAAAACATGATGGCATCCCTGCCATAGACGAGGGAAACCCTAAGCCAGAGAGGGACCCAGATCAATTTAAATCAGCCTGCAGACTTAGAAGTAAAAAGCAAAGACACCAGACAAAAGCTGTAATTTTTTTACTAAAAGAATAAATTTTATTTCAGCACTGTAAGTCGTTTCCCAACCAGTACAAACATGACTGCCATCTTTGTCTCTTCCTGAACTTTTCCTCCCCTCCCTCTGTGTGATCAGACCACCAACAGCCGGACAAAAAACTTCTTTTAAAAAAAAAAAAAAGGAAAAAAAATTAAAACAAACTTTCTTTTCTTTCTTTCCTTCCACAGACTGTCTGGTGCTTCCATAATGCTAACAATGACAAATTATACCAACCATAATTATAACAGCAATAATGATGATAATATTTCTATAACAATTATATCATGGATACATTTGAACCCTTTTTTATTCTTATTTTTTCGCTGCACAGGTAGTTTTGGGTGGTTATAGGTACGGATGCATCAGGACACACGCTGCTGAAAATTGACCAAAATGACGAGAAACGATCAGCCTGACTGGGAAAGTTGAAACGGTAGCGGGAGGAGGGGCAGGGGATGGGTCTTAGGGTGCTGCTGGGAGGGAGTGGCAGTGTAGAAACAGACAGACCGACCGACAGGAGTGAAGGGTCTTTACTGGAACCAGACAAGAAGCAGTGAGAATCAACAGATCAGGACAGGTTCAGTTCCTGGAGGGGCGGCTCTGTGTAACACTCAGTAATACTGATTCCTTTCTACAATAGATGACATTACATTCTTGACCCAAGGCTTAGTTCTCCTCTCAAGGCTGAGCTCTTATGAGATGCTCCCATCTGTGTGGGCAGAGGCACCCAGGTTTAACTACACCTTTAAATTAAAAGGATGGTGGATTTTCCCTAAAGCAACAGATTAGCACTCCCCCATCAATGCCTTAAGTATATCGGGGCTTTGAAGTTCATAAAACGACTAAGAAAACTAAAGATACAATTTCCAACCCAAACAATGTTTTGAGTTCAAGTCATTTGGATAAGAAAGTGACACTTTTTTCTGACTTTGTGTGTCATAAATAACACCTCACTGACCCTTCCCCACCTGTTGCTGTTTTTTTCCCCTCTTTAAAAGACAAAGTGCAATGTGACGTGACCCTGAACTAATACACCGACTGATTAAACACCAAATATTGCCTTTCTCTGAAAACGTTCTTTTAAGAACAGATTGGAAATGTTTTCCTGCCATTTTTTTCTGTTTGGTTTACGAGTTGAAATCTATTCAATCAATAATAATCAAGGTGACATTTTAGAAAGATGTAATTATTCTGCTTCAAAAGTAAACAAATGATCATCACTGGTTTTCCATTAATACTTTTCTAAAGACCATAAAATCCTGTTTACATGTATACAATAATGAAAGTTAAATTTAGCAAATTTCCTAATTAGTAAAACTGTATGAAAAGGTTCTAAAGACATGTTTTACTTTAATTGATGGAGAACATAGATGCTATTTTATTGAGCTGAACAAACATGACTTCAGCCCTTTTTATGATTTTACAACAGGTATGAAAAAGATCAGTGGGTGCAGCAACTTGGATCAACCCGTTGCTGTCAGTGTTTGTTTTATCATAAAAGAAAATAGTGTTATTTTAAAGTAGCGCCGTGTTTGTTGCCGATTGTTGAGTGTCTAACTTTTGGGGGAGTAGCATATATGTGCTTGTGGGAAAATTCAGCCTCTGTTGACGGCGTTATTAATCCCTTACAGCATGAGGACGCTCAGTGAGCTTCAGCCAAAAAACTAACGTGAGTAGGAGAAAACAAAACAAATATGTAGAAAGAAAAAAGGAAAATCCTCAAAAAGAGCATCAAAACCCCCCAGTAGAACCAGAGGCGTTTGTGTCATACCTTCTCTGTGTGTTTGTGTAGAACCGCTCAGACCTAGCAGCTCAAAGCCTTTTTTCAGTCAACGAACAGAGAGAGCTTTTAACTATTAGCCATTAGGGTCCAGACCTGCCTCATATGTTTGCTCACTTGTGGCTCCGGTCCGTCTGCGTCTCTGTGACCGCCACCGCTAAACTCGCATACTCGTCAGATAAATCACACGTGCTGTAAAATATTTAAATATATTCCTTTTATTGTTCCAAAAACTCGTTACTTGAGGGTGGGGGGGCAGCTGTTGATTTCAGGTGGATCATTGGGGTTTAGGGGCGTTTTTCTTTTAGAGAGGGGAATGGGGGTTGGGGGATTGCAAGGCGTGCTTTGGTTCTCAGATGTTCACAAGAGATGTTTTGCTGCTTTGTGCAAGGGTGCAGAGAGTTCAGCTTGGACTGATTATGAGATAAATCTTTTTTTTTCTTTTTTTCCTTTAGGGATATCGTAAGAATCAAACATTATGCAGACGACGATTTTCAATTCGAGATAAAGCGGGCAATACTTACTCACATACATAAACGGTGAAGTGGTCTAAAGATGCCATATAGATACAGGTAAGGAGAATGGCAATCATTACAGTTCAAATCTCTAGGTTGGCTAAGCGTATTTCAGTACTAACTGAAGCGATGGTAGAAGGTTAAGATTAGAGAGATGTAATACCATTAGAAATAGTAAGAAAAACACATTTGCACAATTGAATAAAACAGTTTGATTTTTTTTCTGATTTTTTTTTCTTTCCACTCTGGCTAGATACATAAAGAAACTGATTATCAACGTTAATATAACCTTTACTGTTAATCGGGTTGATTAAGGGCGGGGCAGCCCAGAGAGAAGAGAGAAAAGGGGGATAAAAGAAGAAAACCTTTTCTAAAGGGCTAACAGAATCAGAGAGAGAAATGTGGGGATAGAGGCTGTGTGTGTTATATTTGTGTTTGTGTGTGAATGCTTTAAATGGGGTTGTGAGTATGAGTGTGAGGATGGATGTACTCCTCTGAGGAACGAGGAGCGTTTGAGGCAGAGAAAAGTAGTAAATAAAGGGGGAGTTGAGGAAAAATAAAAAAAGGCATCTTAACAAAAGGAGGGTTGGGCTGTTAGAATAACGAGGAGAGAAAAACAACTTATTGATCGATATCTATCAAACTAAAACAGACAAGGACAAAAACGGGACACTACATCATGTGTTGTGTTGATTCTTTTTTTTTTTTACCATACTAACTATAGTTTAACATCTATATGTATCTGTGTGTCGTAATCAGTGTGCTGCGTGTGTGCAGTTGTTTGTCTGCGTGCCGACCTGACACTTTCAGCGTGTCGCGGTTTTCCGTTTTCCTGTTTGTGCAAACTCGTCTGTGTGGGATATATTTTAAGTCAGAACATGTAACCAAAGGATCTCCGATGAACTGACGACCACTCGACTGCTGCACACGCACACACACAAAAAAGAAAACTTCAGCACGAAAGCAGAGAGAAAGCAACTGATACCTGTGTGAATGTGGTGTGTGGGTGAATGAGTGTGTGTTTTAATATCAGTGTGTGCTGTGGCGAGCAAATTGAGAGAGGGTATCGTGTAGAACGGATTACACTCTGGCTCGCCACAGAAAAAAAAACAAAAAAAAAACAAAAGCCATCTTTACATCTTAGCTGTACTAATGTCAAAAGTTGAAAGCGGTTACGCATTATGTCTCCTAGAAAACCTAGACTTAGTATTCGGCAAGTGGAGCTCTATTATCTAGTCTAGTCTCTGTGTCTGTGCTTTACGGTCCAGTTAGGCCCGGATGCTGCTATCTTACTTTTTACAGACACCTACAGCACCTCGTGTGCCGAGTTCCTGCCAATAATGGCTGACGTGCCGGTACCTCTGGATTCATTTGGAGTTGGTATAAAAGGCGGTGACGCTAGCCCAACGCCCCGCCTACGAGCGTAGGCCTACGCTCACGGCCGGGTTAAATTGTGTCACTGGTAAATGGTCGAGTTCAGAACAGAGGGAGATGTCTGAGATGACTACAATAATGCGTACAGTCAAGGTCGATTTGTTTTTATTTCCTTCAGAAGAGCTTCTTCTTTGTAACGGTTGTGGCACACGATTGAGCACAAGTCATTTATATAGTAAGAAAATAAGGTGCTTCTAGCTGACTTGCCTTTTTTCATGTCAATTTTTCAAAGTTCGGAAGTTCAAAAATAATCTTGGCCGTCATCTCTCAGCTCCATTTCTTTTGAATTGCGTTCTACTTCTGGATCTCTTGTCAGATGAGATCAACTGTAGGGTCAATGGGGGAGCAGGAGGGCACATTTCATTGTCTATAAACATAAGTGCTCTAATTTAAAACTTTTCCATACGTTAAAAGTTTCAGGGTGGGAGCAGCGCACCTCCCTGTCATTAGATGCAGCTCACAGAGTCTCTGTCGTGTTTGTGGGGAGGACTTAGGGGCAGTGAGAAGCTTCCTGTTGGTCTAAAATATCTCATCAGAGCTCTGCAGGCCAGCAGCTCCAAGCTGAGGGATGGTGGGACCTGGAAGGAATTGCTACTGCGCCCATTTTTTAAATGGCTAGCCGCCTCGAACGGCAGGCCTTACTGACGTACACTTTGGATAGGAACTTTCAGTGATTTGAAATGGTTTGCAGGAGTGGCGACCCATTTTTTGCTTCATTGCAAAGTTCTTGACTGACCATGAGTTTCTGAAGGGAACGCTGCTTGGCAGCAGCTCCCTCAAACTCTCAGCCTCTACTTCCATCCGTATCTGGGAAACAATATTTGTCTTCTTTTTTTTTTTTTTTTTTTTTGGCCTAAAGTCAAGAAGGTGCCTGAAAGTTTAGGTTTATTTCCATTTCATCTGGTAAAGGACTGTCCAGTGTGGTTGAATATTTTAAAGACAAAGTGCTGAACCACTCTGTTCACATTCTGACGTCTCTCAAATAGATCTCTACCTTTAAAACGTACTTCTACGTGTCATAAAGATGTATTCAGGAGCAGGGGACGGCCCTGACAGAACGTCGATTCAACCGTAAAGGGGCTTCTTCGGACTCGTTAAAATACAACATTAAGTGCTTTTGCTGGGTTAATACAATCAAAGCTTTGGGACAAAAAGGACAACTGGGGAGGGGACAATCTTGCATACTTTAGGGCTTAAGGTGCATAAATTCTTGGAGGGGGGGAGGGGGTCTCTCAGCACATCTAAGCATTAGGCTATGCTACATAGGTCAAAATAAGATAGCACACTATTACCATGAAGTGCTCCAGTGATAACCAATCAATCTATATAAGGGAGAGGGGGTTTGCTAGCACACATGCTAATACTCTTTATGTGTGTGTGTTTGTAGTGGGGGTAGGGGGGTGTCACTGCACAGAAAAAAAAAAAGGTACATCTGTGTTTAAAACATTGCCGCATAGCAAGAGTCATATTCCTAATTCCTCTCAGACAAAACCGATGTGATCACTATGGCAACAGGGCACAAAGACACACCACGACCGACTATGGCGACCATGCTTAGCAGCTGTTTAAAGAAAAACAAAACAAAAAAACAATGCGATCAGCCGCCGCAAACGTTACGTCAGTGTGCAGCGACTTAAACAAAGGGACCATTAAACACACAAGAAAGTGTACGAACGTGGAGACTGGGGTGGTGGGGTGGGGTGAAGCTTTAAGCTCTGAGGGGGAAACTGTGACGTTTGAGGAGGGGTTTTGCTTTTTTTTCCCTTGCGGGATAGTTTTGGGGGGCTTACGGACTCATGGAGAAACCCTTTCTTCATAAAACTGTTTAAAACCACATGAGTAAAATAAAAGGGAGCAACGGCTTGCTGCCTCAGTCTATCACTTGGCGGAGGAAGTAAGGCGAAGGTCAGCTCCGCATCACTTCCTGCTCCAGGTGAGTGAGTACACAGCTAGCAGACGGGGCTACAAAAACAGGGGAAAGGCAGTCGAACACAGATAACTCTCTGAGAGCGTTGCATCCTGGGTAGGATGCCATCACTCCTCCTTCTGTAGCGCTCCGTCAGACGGGCAGTCGTCAAGGCAACAGGGGGCCTCCACTTCCACCCCCTCTGATTGGTTGTCTCTGCTGGCTAAGGCACACGGGATTGGCTGGGCCAGCTCCAAGGGCTGGCCGATGGCGGAGGCTGCTGAGCTGCCGTTCAGCTGCTGAGTCGAGACCTCTGGCGTTGAGTCTGCCTCCTCTGAGGGCTTCGAGGGACTGCTGGGTGGGGGGGGCGATGTCTGAGGATGGACGAGGGAAAGCGTCAACAAGGTAGCAAGATGCATCAGGTGTGACAGAGGAAGTGATGTGCTGTGACAAATGTTAGGGAAAATTTAGGACAAGTATAATTCTACGTTCACGTCGGACGCAATTCGATCAGCAGAAGCAGCAAGTTTACATGCAAAGTCTGTGGTTGACGCGCATCCAGGTAGGGCGGGGCAATACGACTTCAAATCAATATCTCGATAAATTGAGCAGTTTTACATCGATAATGATAAATGCACGATAAATCAGAAATAAATGTGCAAGAAATGTAACTGATTTATTTATAATTTATATGTTGAATAAATCAAGGTACGTATTATTTTAAATTAAATATTAAAGTCTTGTACCTATTCAATTTTAAACATTCAACAATGTCTTATTGAACAGGAGAAAAATATTTCCTCTCCTGCAAACATTTTTGCGCAAAGGTAACGGAGCCTTTTGCAGATCTTTGAACCCAACAGCGGGGTTGTGCTGCAGGTGTTCGATTTATTACTTTGGGTAGTCCAGATAGTTTGCAGCTAAACTTTGGATTTCGTGTTCTTTTGCTCAACATCTATGGCATAATTTTGCTGCCACCGAATTGAGTGTGCATCATTTAAATTTGCACACCCTCATTCAACTCAACTCTGACAACGCGACTGCTTCTCTGTATGCTCAGGTTGATCTCTGCTCTTCCTCGGCTCCACAGGATTAACTGGTATAATTTAGTTTACAGCTGTGTTGGACACTTCTTCACAGGGCTCAACCGCCATTCCCCTTCTTTACGCTTCTGACTGGATGGGTGGGGTCACGTGATTACACACATGCTGCAATATCTTAAAGGGGAAGGAGATACCAACCACCAGAAAAACGGCAGAATTACATTTATTTCTTTTACCGACATGAGAAAATTGTCGTCAGTTATTTTAGTTAATAAATGTAACATTAAAAATCCTGTTTATCGCCCAGCCCTACATTAAGGTGCATCAAAAGGTCCTGCTGCGCATCTGGATGCATCTGAAGCAACGCCTCATGAGTTTCTAAGCATCTTAGGTGCATGACGCGCTTCACAAGCAGCGGGTGCTGGATTTAGAAAATGTAACTTTTGCTGCTCGACGCACCACATCAACCGTCAGAGAGGCTGGGAGCTCGCAGGGAGACACAGCACGGCTGATGCAGATCGCTATGATCACTCACCTGAAACTGTTTATTAACACCTAAATTAACTTAAAATTCAGAAACAAGCCGGCAAATTCTGTTCGCTTTTATTATTGTGGTACCCGCTGTTTGTATTATATACCTAAAAAAAATCTACTTCTACAGCGCACCACCGGTATGTGGGGGTCTGCGGCGTAATAGTTTAAGGAAGGATGATCTTGATGAACTGACTGCACAGACGATGTTTTAAGGTCTGCTTTCTCACTTAAAAACATTATCAAAACTACTTTTTACCCACTTATCACAGCAAATAAAGCAAAGCTGCTCTCTGCCATTGAACACAGGAGCAGCACAGGCATCAGATGCATCTGGACATTTATTCGACCTAAATGTGTACAAGTATCAGAAATGAGGTAGCAGGTGCTTTTTTGGCTGCCGACATTGTGTTTAGTATTAACGTAACATTAAGCAAAAAGGGGAGTTGTGTCTTATGTATTTGCATCATAACTACGGTAATTATTATTTCAGTACAGTATTTATAGTCAACATGAAGTGTGTGTGTGTGTATATATATATATATATATATATATATATATATATATATATATATATATATATATATACACGTTTCTTAAAAGGAAAAAATATTTACAGCAATAATAATTTATTTTCATTTTTCCCGAGGTAATACTTTATTAAATCCTCATTTATTGGACTTTGATATTGCTCTCTGCGTCATACCTGTGTTCTGTTGGCAGCTGGTTTTTTCCCTCCTTTTACTTTTCCTGGAATCTCCTTACCCCTCCTGAAAAGTAGGAACAGAAACACATTAAAAGAAGGAACAGCTCAATCCAAACCCAGGAATATGTTCGGGAGATAAATGATCAGCACTGAGGAATAAAGCAGAATACCTGCTGTTGGGTTAATGGAAGTGATTTGAACTTCCAGCCACTTTGTACACTAGCAGTTTTTTTTTTTATTACAAGATTTTGTGTGCATTGCTTAAACATTTTTTCCACTGACCACATGCATCCTTTTTGCTGATTTAATAAATGCATTTTTAAAAAAAACAGTTTTAATTTTCCACGGAGGCATTTAAATTACTCGTACTCATCACTGCGGATGAAGAGTAAGACCAGTGCAAGTAATTTCAGTGCCTATTTGAAGAGTGAAAACTATTTCTTTAAAAAGGGACAGGATTTATAAATCAACAAATCATTATTCACATGGTCTGTGAAAAACAAACCTTGAAGGAATGCAGGCAGAATCTTGTAATTGAAATTAAATGAAAAAAAAAAACAGCTAAAAAAACGTTTATAACTTCTAAAAGGAATTTAACTTTTAAAAGAAAATTCTTTGTGTTGTATTGTTACCACTGTCCTTTAGAGAGCACTGCTACTCAGTCTTAAACATTTTAATTGAAAAAGCTTCCTGGATGGGAGACGAAATGTCTTCTAACTTTGAAACTAATTCCAGTGATTTGCTTTTTGTTTTGGAAAGTCTTAAACATAATTTCCCTGGTATTTGCTAGAGAAGAATTAGTAGGGCAGAAGCATGCTAGAGCAGAAAAAGTAATCAATCCAGAGGCGGTCTGGGATTAGTTACTGTTTAATGGCAGGGTTAATGCACAATGCACTTGTTTGTGAATGTAAACACTAGAAGAACTCCTGAATTTATCCCTTGAATAGCACCTATTAGCTGTGCTGCAAGGAAGAGCAGCGTCAACTCTCTGCTGTGCTCAGTGGGTGAGGATGTATTTATAGAAAAGGAAGCATTACGCAAAGGTTTTCAACATGATAGAAAAATACATGCTAGCAACAAACACAGTAAATACGGAAGGCTTTTGTGCATTAATGCATTTCATAGAGTCAAGTTTTAACTTTCCTCTGAGAGTCCTGTACCCCTGCTAACAGCATAAAGTGTCTCCAAGCATTGATTGTTGAATTGCACTAAAAACAGGTATTTCATAGCTAGTGTCCACTTTATTGAAATAAAATGGTAAATATTCTGATAGCATATCAGAGCGACATACCCAGTCTTTAAATTATAATTTTACTCTTCTCTATATATGGGAAATCATAGGTGTCTCACATATTTCATTCAATTTTACTTTCATTCACTTAATAGGCTGCTGTTCTATCTTATAAATAAGTTTAATGATGTGTAGAAAAAACATCTTTTTGTTTATTCAGTCAGTATTTAATACAGCTGGCACGATAAATTAAAGCATAATGGTGTACCATTTTTAAAAATAAGCATAAACTCAGGTTTAAAAAAAAAAAATAGCCACTTCAAAATGAATTGCTAGTCAATTGTTAAGACTAATAAACTTTAGATTAATTCATTCAATAAACTGCATCCCTAGTTGTAATACTTATGCCACAGCACAGTATCACTGCCACATAAGGCTGGAAAATTAAATATATATTGATATAATTTTATACAATAATGATGATACATTTAAAATATTTTAATATATATTACATTTTATATTGGTCTATTCTAGTCAGTTTCTCGTCCGCTTTTATCTTTCTTATGCTGATATCAAAATCATATCACAGTGATGAAATTTATCATGAAACTAAGAACTATATTGTGATATAAGTTGGGGCCTTATTGTCGAGCCTTACTGCCACATAAGTAAAGATCAAAGGCAGAGAAAAAGAGAAGAGAAAAGCAGAATCAGGAACTCAGGTGTGAGAAAAGAGGCGGGTACACTGATGATGTAGTCTATACAAAACCTTAGAAAAACAAACATTGTTGGTTTCAAATGCCTGATAACTTAAATAGCTTCTAAATAAAACAGACTCTTAAGTCCACCATTGTTGTCGTATGTTAGGGATGCATTATACTCAAGTATTAGCTGCCCTGATACAAGATATGTCAATATTTCATAACTTAAATGGTTGATAACTGACATTTGTTTGTAATCCAATAAGATGTCGATAAGGCAATATGCTGACTGTGCAATATATGTGAATATAATAGTCATACCACTACCTCACCGTTGTTCCTTACCTACTACACTTTAATGTAAAAGTCAATCCACCTGTATATAAGCCATCCTGATTGTACTTATGTCACCTCAAATCTCTGTGTTACTCCCTTGTATTTTTTATTAATTTTTTTATTTCTTATTTATTTGTATTTATTTTTATTCCTAATGCACCGTTTCCTCCTTGTTTGCACCTTCTTTATTACTATGCCAGTATGTGACCAGTGAATTTCTCCGCTGTGGGATCAATAAAGCTCATCTAATCTAATCT